AAAGACCCCTCCGTCTCCTGTCATACTCCACTGAGTGAAGACCAAATACTGAAGGCCATCACAGGCTTGTGCATCATGAAGTTATGCCACTGTTTGCACTGCTCGCCTTTAAGTCACCAGAAATGGTGACTTCCCTGCCCATCAGCCTCTTGCCTGCCCTAGTGGGGCTGCCTATGTGAGAGTTGACAGAAATGGGCTTGGGGAGTGCATAAGGTCTGTTTGAAGAATTCCTGGGCAGAAGTTTAGGAGGTGGTTCAGAGCATGTCTCTATGCATATCTATATCCGAGATCTGCAGTTTAGTACATGTATGACCTTCCACTGTGTACAGTAGCTCGTAATGGATTGTAGTTAGTATCTTCAGAGAATTGTTGAAAATGAGGTAGTCCCTGGAAAGCTCTTTGGACAGTGTTTAACACACAGTAACTGCTTAATAAATATTTGCTATTATAGTCATTGTTGTGATGAGGAGAAGAAGGAGGAAGCATTCTCAGCCATCCATAGAGTGATGCTACCCAAATTGCATCTTCATAGTGACTCCATTTTGCAAAGGGCATGTGTGTTATGTCATTTGATCCTCACAGTCGCCCTATGAAATAGTGTCCTTTTCATCCCCATTGTAGAGATGAGGAAATTAAGACTCCAGTGTGCTTCTCTGGGCATGTATCTCTACCTTTCAACTCCTGACCCCATGCTTTTGCAATCATATCTCTCTCCCTCTTCCTTTGTTTCACAAATTCCAATTTTGGAATAGTGGTGAGATGAAGAAACACAGGTTCAGGCTGTAGAACACAGGTTATATGCCCAACACTTGTCACTCTCTTTCTCTGGCCCAGCCAGAACTGGAGGAGAGCCAGGGAACTCTACACTTGGGTGATGCAGGCCTTTACCTGAGTGCAGGTTTGGAGCTAACCCAGTAAGTAAGTCGCCATTAGTTTGGGTAACTATGTAGTGACCTCTGTAACTCAGCCTCTTCTCTGGGAAATGTGGACTCCCAACCACTTTCAGTGGTACCAAGACTTCCCAGTAGGGTACGAACTAAAGGCACATCTTCCAGCTAACCCTGAAATTTCCGACTGTGCTTTACAGCATGGGATCTTTCATCTTGAAAAGCTATGACAGGGCTTCTGTGACAGTTCTCTGAGCAGAAGATGGGGGGCACCTGAACTAGAGACCAAAGACCAGATTGGAACTGAAGGTCTAGACCTAAATCTTCCCCTTATTTTCTGAGCGGTTGTAGATGAGTCCCTTTCGCTGAACCTCTGTTCTCCATGTGGACACTGTAAATCCTGAGCCACACTCAGAAATCTCAGAGGTTCCCTCCAGCGTGTAGTAGACTGAATAATGGCCACCCAGAGATACCTGGTCCTCATCTCTGAAACCTGTAAATGTTACCTTATAAAGAAAAGGGGTCTTTGTATTTGTGATCAAGTCAAGGATCTTCATGTGAGGAGATTATCCTGTTTTATTTAAGCAGGTCCTACATCAAATCCCAAGTGTCTTTTTAAGAGAGAGGCAGGGTGACATTAAACACCACAAGAGAAGGTGAAGATAGAGACAGAGATTAGAGGATGTAATCACAAAGGAATGTGGTAGCCAGCAAAAGGAAATGTTCCCTACAGCCTCCAGGGGGAGTGTGGCGCCGCCAACACCTTGATTTCAGCCCAATGAAATTGATGGTGAGCTCTGGCTTCCAGAACTCTATGGAATAAACATCTGTTGTTTTAAGCCGCCATGTTTGTAATTTGTTATGGCAACCAGAGGAAATGAAGGCACTGCCCTCTGAGTCAATTGTCTCTCACCTGTTCTCCCTGCCCATCTATCCAGCAAGGCTTGTAGTTGCACTTGATGCCTGTTCCAAAACAGAACAAGACACGTGTCTTTCGTTAAGCCTGCAGAAAGGTGGAGCACTCGTTTAGTCTCAAGTTCTCTATTTCTTTACTTGGCACGTGTTTTCTGTGGTTGCCACCAACACAACGCAGCTTCCTCCCTCTACGACGTCCAGTTTCTCATTGTTGTTTTCCTATCTAAGAGTCAGTTTCCAACAGAGTACCTTGCATCAGAAAAGACAGTAATTTAATGACCTTGAGGTCATCAGTTTGTGAGTAACCAAGACAACATTCATTTTAGCAGCAAGTATATTCATTTAATAAATATTTCTTGAGCATTACTCTGTGCCAGCTGTAGGCAACAATAGGGGACCTGGGACAATAGGACATCTGACAGAAAAAGTACTTATTCTAGTGGAGCTGGCAGTGGGGTGAGTCACACACAGTGAAGCTTAGATGTATGTACTCAAGCTTCAGTTGCAGCAAAATTCTAATTTTCCAAGATTGTTAGCAGGGCATCAGATCCATGTCTCTGCTGGGTGAACTTCCTCACAGAATATTCCCTGGCTTGAACTTCTATAAAGAGTCCTGGGAAATATTTTTAGCACACAAGAACTCTCTTGGGGCCAAGAGAGCTTGGCTCATAACAGACTCTTCATATTTCTCTACATTCCACCAGGTTATGCCTATGCTACCCCTTCAACTCAGAACTCTGGGCTTTGAGTAGAATGCTGAAGGAATGAAAATACTATGGGGATGCCCTCACCTGTGTGGTTCAGTTGATTGGACATCATCCTATGCACCGGAGGTCACCAGTTCAATTCCCAGTCAAAGCACATGCCCAGGTTGCAGGCTTGATGCCTGGTAAAGGATGTGCAGAAGGCAGCTAATTGATGTTTATCTCTCATCAATGTTTCTCTCTCTCCCTCTCCCTTCCTCTCTCTTTCTAGAATCAATAAAAACATATTAGAAGGGGAAAAAACCACTCTGGGAAAGAGAGAATATTCTGATTGTCCTCCCTTGTTTAATTCTATCCTTTTCATCATTTCTCCAGATCTGAAGTGCTCTCAAAAGAAAAAAAAATAGCAGAAACACTAATGGGATTTCCTCCCTCCCACACATCCTTCTTCGGAGCAGTGACTCAATGTCCTGTGCTGAAATGGTGCCCCCTGCCACTGGGGGCTCAGGTGGACAACCTGAGTCATTTCTGATGTCTGTTTTTCCTTCATACCCCACCTCTAAACATCCCAATGTCATTCAAAATATACCCAGAATTCTACTACTTCTTTCTACTTCTTCACCTCCACCTGTGTCCAAGGCACCATCACTTCCTGTTTTGATTTGAAAAAGAAAAGAAGTAAAAGGCCAGGAATACAATCCATGCGAAGGACTTGAAGCTTCTTTCAACTCCAGGAATCTAGGCGTCTATGAATGGCCCAGCAGCCTAGATCACCTGCATTGTTTTTTAGGGTCTCAGGAAATTTAGTTGGTGCTGCTCTCTTGAGATTGAGTTGACTTTTCCCTCCCGCATTTCTTCCTGTGTAGGCAGTGGACAGCAGAGCACACCGAGTTAACCTGGGACATAGTAAATGCTCAATAAATGTTTGTTGAATTAGCAGTTGGATTTTTATGATAAGCAACAAAATATGACAATATAAATTGCAAAAAAAAGGATGCAATTGACTACCTATCACTCCTGATCTAAAGCAGCAACTCACTTAATTGGGATACTCTTAGTGTGTGGTCAACATGGGGGGTGGGATAGGAGATCAATGGGACATTGGCTCCTGGAAGTGATCTAATTATTGTAAGGATTTTTCAGAATCTTGGACATGGGTGGCACTATAGAAACCATCCAAAGAAAATGGTGAATCAGATTTTGTCCATAAGATTCTCGGTGTGCCCATTGACCCCAACTTCTGGCTATTTCGTTTCCTTTTTAAAGAGGTAAACCATTTATCTTCTGAAATGTATATGCTGTGATCCCCAAAGACTTACCATGGATTACTCATAGTTGCCTCTTCCTCAGCCGAGGAGAGATCTGCAGTGTGGTGACTGGGGGTTTAGGGGAGAAGCGCACAGGGTGGTGCTGTGGGCCTTTAACAACATTCATTCTCTGTATTTCTTGCTCTCAGCTCTCACAATAGACTTATGCTTATTTCAAGGCAAGCACAGAGAGGGGAGAATTTGAGAATTTGATGGAGACCAAAGTAACAGCAGAAGCACCTGACCTTCCAGGGAAAGAAAGAGGCTGAAAGGAAGCCATGCAGGGCTACCTAGGGTCCAGGGTGCCTACACACTGCAGGCATGCACACCCCGAGGTTCCTTATTTTGCAGTCTGTGGAAGCTCTCACTCCCCCTCCCCATCTCACTCTCACCCCTTAGGCCAATGATTGGGAGGAAGCCTTAGCTCCCACCAGCTGGACGTGGAAACCTGGCCCAGCACCAGGGGTGCAGCAAGGGAGCTCATGCTGCAGATTAAAACTGGAACTCTAAATACATATTTCACCGAAACGTTATCGTAACCTGCACTAAACGTCTTGGAGTTTCTCTCTAACCACAGTTACAGCATCCAGGTCTTCAGCTGAGTTGGCAGTAACATGGGCTCCTGTGGGCCAGCCTCAGAACCCATCATCCAGCGAACAGCACTGTTTCTATGGAAACCTGCAGTCTGTGACCCAAATACCCAGGTTAAAATGTTGCTGTTTCATTTCACTCAATGTGTGGTCAGTTGGGGATTGCCAATATTAGATAAAAATTGGGCTTCCGGCCCAGCCAGCATGGCTCAGTGGTTGAGCGTTGACCTATGAACCAGGAGGTCATGGTTTTCGATTCTCGGTCAGATTGCAAGCTCGATCAATCCCCAGTGTCGGGCGTTTAAGAGGCGGCCTATTGATGATTCTCTCTCATCATTGATGTTTCTATCTCTCTCTTCCTCTCTGAAATTAATAAAAATATGTTTTTTAAAAATGTGGCTTCTTTTTTTTTAATGTGTGGATTTTTTTCATCCGGATTATCCATTCCTGTCACCAGAGTCATGGGGGATCCTGTATTCTGAAGAGTCTGTGTTTAGATGGAAACTTCGGGTATGAAGAATTAGCCAAGACTAAGATGGAAATCCTTCTCCAGCCCTTGATTATGTGCTTCTCCTTGTATTTCCTGAACCCCTGCAGGGCGAGCTTTGCTGAGACTTACTGACAAAAAGCTTGAGCGAATGGGGATTGCCCAAGAAAACCTCCGGCAGCACATCTTGCAACAGGTGCTCCAGCTGAAGGTGCGGGAGGAAGTCAGAAACCTACAGTTACTCACACAAGGTACCCCGCTCTTCCTAGTGGGTGGATGGAAGGGAAGATGGGAGGGATACAGAAGAGCCAGGGAGAAACTGTCATTGTTTTTGTTTGTTTTTTTTTTTACAGCATTTTCTTTATTTAAAAAGTATATAGATTTAAAGGCCACTTCCCACCTCAAACTTCTCTTTTTCATAGCTCACTATGGGGGAAGGAAGCACAGTAATGGATGGGTGAACAGTATTGCCTTAGCTAATTTCAAGGTCGTCACCTACTACTATGTAGGTTGTGCACCGCACCACCCCAGAGAGTACCCATCACAGAGATCAGGGTACAGTTGCACTCCCTAGAGTTGTACAGTACACACAGTCCACACAACTTATAGGGCAGCCCAGGCTATCTTAGTCTGAGAGAGCCTTGGAATTTGAGTGATTTCATAGTTCATATGACTAGTGATGTAAGTGGGATTTTTGTTATGTTACGTTTTACTTTGCCCTTCACTGACTAAAGGGAGAAAAACATTTTACAGGTATGTGTCTGTATGTATACACACACACACACACACACACACACACACACACTGTAGTGTTTGTGAGAACCCTATTTAGAATCTTGAAAATAGAACCATTTAAAAAAAATAGACTACAAGGAATTTAAAACTGGAATGTTAAGTCCATATAATTCTAAACAAGAACCATTAATAACTTCAATATGTCGAGAGCACTTAAGAGTTCTATAACTGGAAGTGACAGCATAAAGCTGGAATGTGAAGAAAACCTTAAGTGACACTGTATGGAACTTGTATGTCTAGATAAGAGTTGGTTGCTATCAACCTCCATTGGCTATAACCTTTTATTTATTTCATTTTAATGCCCATTGTATATTGTTTTAAATGAAAGGATAATAAGGTATGTATTTTTGAGAGTCTTGGGTATTTTTCAATCTTTAGAATATTGTAATTGCATGCATACTGATGTTGGAGAAATCTGGGTCAGCCAAGTTTCACGTTATTACATTTAGATTAGCCCAGTGATGTACTCCATTTGCCTAGAGGAACTAATGCACTGCCTGAAAGATGACTGCCCAGAAGGATAAATATAGACTCTGAGTGGTATGAAAATAGTATTGTTTATTTGTTATGCATTATTTGAACTTGTCTCCAGAGACTTCCATAGTAAATGTATGGGTACATTGAGTGATTTAAATTTGAATTTGACACATTGATATACATTTAAGTTGCTGCTAAAAAGTAAATAGAGATTCATCACAAGAAAGTCCAATGCAGTGCTATTTATGAAACTGAAAAATTAGAATCCACCTAGAGGTCCAGTAATATGGAAAGGATCAAATAATTCTGTTTAAATTCATAAGATCCAGTATAATGGATCATTCACATTACACCTTCAAAGAATATATAACAACATGAGAGTGTAGTCAAAGAACTAATAGGAAGTGGGGTAGGGACGAGGCCATATATAAAATTTTCTTTAAACAAGAGCCCAATTTTATTAAAAAATTATATTTTTATATGTACATAGAAAAAGGGATGCAAATGAACATGCCAATATTTTGATAATGGTTCTCTCTGGGTGGTGGGATTGTGGGTAATTTTAATGTTTTTCTTTATATTTTTCTGTATATTTCAAATGTTCTAGTATAAATCCATTTTACAGTTATAATCAGAAAAAACACACGCATTTTTAAAGCTTCAATTTGGTGTCTGAGGTTTCCTCCACTCTTTTGTTTTCCTCCTGTGATGATATATAAGAAATGAGACCTAAATTTATTATGTGTGCCTGGGACTTGTTTTTTTATCTCTGCTACTGTCAGCCTGCCGTGTGTTTGCTTTGCAAAATCATTTTCTACAGCTTTCATCGCCCTAGATGCATAATATATAAGATTTTTCCTGAGATAGTACTCAAGTCTATTAAGCTAAATATATGTTTGTGTTCTGGGAAGGTAATGCTAAGTTCAGCCTTTTCAATTCAGTTGTTGTCATTTTCTTTAGCTTTCAAAAGCTGTGCATTTTGAATCCTTGCCTTCTATTCCCCTTAGAAGAGGTCACATTCTCCAGCTCTTGGATATTTTGTCTGCACTCATAATACTGTTTTTATTGCTTGTCCTTTACATGTTAATGTGCAAACTCATTTTATGTTAGGCAGCCTTTAGAAAATCCATAGCCTTATTGGAAAAGATGTTTTTTAAACATAAAGCAAAAAATTTGTTTTTGTTTTATTTTGTTTTGTTGACTGATAACAGAAGTTCTAAAGACAGCTGGGGTTCCTTAAAATATTTTGGGTCTAGGTTTGCTATAGAAGTATGGAAATTGGACTTTTGGTAGTGAACACGCTATAGAATATTATGCAGATATTGGATTATAATGTTGTATACCTAAAACATATATAATGTTATAAATCAATGTTACCTCATTCTAAGAAAAAGAGAAAGAAAAATGACCCATTAAAAGTCACTCTCCATGTCCTCCCAACACCCCGCCACCCCCCCACCCCCAACCACCAAAACTTGACTACCGCTTATCTACTTCCTGTATATTTGCCTATTCTGTACATTTTCTATAATTGGAATTATTCAATATGTGGTCATTGGTGATTGGCTTCTTTCACTTAGGATAATGTTGTTCAAGTTCACCCATGTTGTAAGCAAGTGCCAATATTTTATCTCTTTTTATTCCCAAATAATATTCCATTGCAAGAGTGTAACATTTTATTTATCCATACATTAATTGATGGACATTTGTTTTGTTTCTGAATCTTGGCTATTATCAAAAATTCTATTTTCAACATTTGTGCTCAAGTTTTGTGTGGACCTGTTTTCATTTCTCTTGGGTATATTCCTCAGAGTAGAATTGTTGAGTCATATGATAACTCCATATGTAACCATTTAAGGAGCTGCCAGACTGTTTTCCAAAGCAGCTGTATCATTTTACGTTTCCACAAGCAATGTATGAGGGTTCCAATTTCTCTACATCCTTGCCAACATTTGTTATTGTCTTTTTTATCATAACCATTCTGATGTGTGTGAAGTGGTATCTCATTGTGGTTTTGATTTGCATTTCCCTGATGGCTAACGATGTTGAGCACATTTTCATGTGCTCGTTGACCATTTGTATATGTTCTTTGGAAAAACATCTATTCAGATTCTTTGCTTATTTTTTAATTGGATTATTTGCTTTTCTCCAAGTTTTATTTTTGACCCACCATGTTTCACCATGCTTAATTACCCACTTTATTTACAAGATCTGGAGCTAAATAGTTGGCTGCCATTTCCAAAGAGGAACCCCATCCTCAAAGGGGGAAGTCTGGCCACCACTGGAGACATTCAAAAGAACCTGCCACAAACTTGGAGATCAACTCCATAATGAAATGAATGAATAAACTCTAAATATTTTCTCTCAGGGAAACATCATTGTTTTGAATGTAGAAATTACACACACACACACACACACACACACACACACACACACACACACACCAAATTAATTGCATCTGTTTATAATCAGACCTCCAAATAAGATACACCCATCTGAAAGCTCATTTTACCATGTTTCTAGAGGAAATGAAATAATAGATAATTAAGCCTACTTTTCCAGCTTTTGGTTGCTGTTTTAAAACTTGCCTTAAGCTGTTAATTCTACACCAGTCATTTTCACCGAGTTGGCCAGGAGCCCCAGGACAGTAATAGGACCAAGATGGCCAGAAATGGACTGAGAAAGCTGGTCCCAGCCAATGGGAGTTACCTGAGCTCAAGGAAGATGAAGGCTGTGTCCTTTTACCTGCTCTGCTCCTTCTGGATGCTGACCAAAAGACAAGAACTATAAGGCATTTTAAACACCGTGGATGCACAGTGAATATATCTGTTTACAGGCACTATTAAGGCATCCTGACTGAAATTCCTGAACCAGCTCATCATCTAAAGTCAGCTGCCTTTCCACTGAAATTCTGGCCTCTGGTTTCCCTGCCTTTATTCGCCATGGCCCTGTAACTACCTGACATTTGCCAGCAACATAAACAATGTTTGGCCCTGCTTTAATGTTGTCTCCTTTGGTGCCTTTGAAGCAGTTCCTTCTCCCGAGCAGCCTTTTGGTCTTCTGTGTCCCATCAGTGGCGCCGTGGGGATGTCGATCTGGTGGACTTGCTTGTAGGAAAGTTCACCCTGTTAGGGCACCTTCAATTTTCTCTTGGGAAATGCAGTGCAGAGCTGGAAACATCGTTATTATCCTTTCCTTTGGCTTGATTCATGAGAGACTGAGGAAAAGGTGCCTTATGTAACACAGAGCAGTGGTGCAGACTATTTTGGGATCCTTCAAATTAATCCGTAACCAACCATATGATGGGCATCATTAGTGTTTTATTAATGGACAATATCTCTAGGAAGAAAAACACCCCAGGGATACTGAAAGCTTTTCTCATATAGCTAATGAGTGTTAGATGCATACAATAGACAAAGCATTGCACTAATTGTCACATTGACTCCTACTCAGCATTGGTGTTGGCCCCAATTTACACATGGAGAAACTGAGGTTGGAGAATTTAAGTAATAAACCCAAAGTCAGACAGCTAGTAAAAAGCATAGTGCAGGTCTGTCTGACTCCACATGAAATCTTTATCCATTACATTTCACCACCTCTGATGTGTCAAGTGGGAAGAATAATTCCTATTTCATGGTGGTGCTAAGATGATTAAGTGAGATGGTATGCAGAAGCCATATAGCATAGTTCAGGGCATATTCTATGAAAGTGTGTTGGCACCTTTTCTGTGTAAAAGGCCAGTAAGTATTTTAGTTTTTGAGGGTCATACTGTGCAAAAATAACCACAGGCAATCCTAAATGAATTGTTCATAGCAGTGTCCCAATAAAACATTATTTACAAGCATAATTGCTAGTCATGGTTTGTGGGCCTCTACTTTACAATGTTTGATCTTATTTTCATCAAGATTATTATTTTTTTATACTTAGTATCTTCCCTTTTGAGCTATAAATGCTTTCTTCAACCCGGATAGAGCCACTC